TCTACCAACAGCTTAGGGGTTGCCTCTAAATGAAGACTAGATCCTTCTTCAATCAAATTCTCCCAAAATTCTTCTACTATAGCCTGCATTTTATGGTCTAAATCATCATGTTTGAGAGCTTGGTTGGTAACTACCCTAGACACAAGTTCTATTTGAAGGCATTAATAAACCCTAGAGACATGGTGAAATTTGTTTGCTTTTAAAATATTAAATGTAACTTCTTGAACATTTACTCTCATAATCAATTTCCCCATCTTAACAGTAATCGATGTTAATCCAGTGACTAGAAAGGGATAGCTAAGAATCAATGACATCTCCTTATCCCCCTTCATGTATAAAATCACAAAATCAGCAGGGAATATAAAATTGTCCATTTTAACTAGCACTCCTCAATGATTCCCTTAGGGTAGGTCATAGGTTGGTCTGCTAACTATAAGGTCAGTGTGATAGGATGGAATTCTTCTAATCCTAATTTTTTGAAATGGCTAAAAGCATGATGTTTATACTAGACTTCAAGTTACAGAGGGCTTTACTCACAAATTTCTTTCCTATTGCGCAATGGATGGTGAACCTCCTAGGGTCTTTCAATTTGGCTGATAGCTTTCTCTGTAAGATGGCACTACATTCCTCTGCCAAGACCATTGTCTCTCTGACTCCTAGTTTTGTCTTTTTTTTTCAAAGCATCTTTTACAAACCCCACATAATCAGGCATACATTCTAAGGCTTTAACAGATTGAACATTGATTGAAATTTTGTTTGCTACCTTTAAAACCTTAACCATCTGTGTGTCCCTTCTAGGCTTTTGGAGTCTCTGAGAAAAGGGTGATGGTAGTCTCTCGTGTCATATCTCAGGTCTGACTAATAACCTTACACTACTCAAGACTCTAGTATTTAAGATTAACTTTAGTGTTGCTTGAGAGCATTCCTGTGGGATTTTTTATTTGAGGCATTTGCTAGCAGTCCTAATTGATGTTCAAGATTCTTAATCGCTACAACTTGGCTCTATAATTAGTTCCTCATTTTTATTATCAGTACCTCGATGGGTGATCTTTTCTACATGAACTGAGCATTGGTTTAAAATCATGGTGAATATGATTGGTTTTTGGGGTTAGTTCCTTATTTATTCCCATTACCTATAGGGTTGGTTTGAGGATTTTTTGTGCACCTATGATCGTTAATCCATTGGATGTTTGGATGATTTCTCTAACCCGAGTTATAGGTATTGAATAGGCATTATTGACATAGTTTCATACGACATTTACAGCCTCTAAAGTGGACATGCTAGAATCCACCATCAGTTCATATAATATCCCTTAACTTGATGAAAATATTTGCACAAAGTTCACCTCGAGATTGTTTAATTTTCTAGAATTGACAACTACTTGGGTGGCTAAGTTAGCTAAGAAACCATATTCATGCACACTAGCTATTTTTTTTTATGTGCCTATCAAAGACAATTGAAAATTATTCATGGTCATCTCCTCTATCAACTGATGGGCTTCTTCAAAAGGCTTGGACAATAGTGATCCCCCAACTGCAACATCTATAATGGACCTTAGGGAGCCTACTAACTATTGTAGAAGGTTTGGATGATCAGTCAGTTGGGTAAGGCATAGGTTGGACCCCTCCTAAGTAATTTCTTAAACCTCTCCAAGGAGTCTTAGATTGACTCTCCATATATTTGGATAAATGAGGAAATTTTATTCCTCAGCTTGGCAGTCTTAGACAGAGGAAAGTATTTTATCAGAATTTTTTTAGCAAGGTCAGTCCAAATGGTTATGGATCCTAGGGCAAAGGAGTTTAACTACACCTTGATTTTATCCCTCAACGAGAATAGAAATGGCCTAAGTCTAACAGCATCACTGAGACACTGTTATGCCTAAAAGTGGCACAAAACTCAAGGAAAATTTACAAATGAAGATTTGGGTCCACAATAAGTAGCCCCTAAATTGGTTGTTTTGAACTATACCGATAATGACTGGTCTTAGCTCAAAGGAATTGGCCTCTACAATTGGCTAGTTGATGCACATGTGGATTTCATCAACAGAAGGGTTGAAATAATCCCTATGTGGTTTCATTGTAGGGTCTTGAAGGTTAGCCATCTATACATATGGGTGTGTTAGTGAGTGAATGTGCTTTCCCAATGCATTTAAATTTTCAATTAATTTCAGGGTCAAAAGGAGCAAAATCAGACTCAACTCCCCTATGCATACACTAAGACGGTGCATCGTGATCTTATGGAAGATTCGACAGACTCCAAACAAACAAACAATCACTACGATCCACATGAGTCATAAACGCATGCGAGCATAGACAGAAGCATGCTCGGTGCCATGGACTTCTGCTTACACCCATGCTTGTACCAGTTAGTCCCCTCATGTTCCATCACATCCCTGCTTGCATTTATACTTGCTTATGAACCCTACGCCATATTTTATGCACAATTGTACTCCTTTTCTTGTACAAACACATATGTGCACCCATGCATACATAATTGCAATCCAAATGCCTATCAGTGCCCTACAGTAGCTACCACTACTGGAATAACATTAATCAACCACCACTATCAACTTTAGATTATAGCTACTCAACATCCACCCACTATGACAACAACAACTTGATCCAAATTTCGTGAACCAAAACAACCTAAATCTCCTAAAATTATAATTTTTGATAATTTCTTCATTATTAGATGACACAAACAAGATCACCCGAAAATAAAAGGGTATATGATGTGTCATCAAGAAATTATATCATTTGGCATGAATCACGAAACTTTGTTAAGCAAGGAACATTTTATATTCAAATTAATGATCATCCAAAGCCCACAATTAGTAGGTTTATAGTCAAACTGATCAAGAAAAATCGGACAATGTCGAAATTGATTTGATCCGAGTCCAAATGAATCCAAATAAAGCCATTAAAGTATATTTGAAAGCTTCATATCATTAATTGAATGTTCAAATGAACTCCAAATTTGACACATATAATCAAATTGAGTGTCTTGATGAGAGAAATCCAACAAACCTAAACTTGCTTAATTTTGAGGCCATTAAGACTCTCAAACTATTAAAAAAGAATCATGTGATAAAAAAGACCAATATGCATTTTTGACCTGGTTATTATGAGTTATTTGTTAAATGACCAAAATGCCCTTTCCTCAAGGGTTATAAATAGACCCATCTCTTCACTTAGATGAGAAAAAAATAGTCAAATTCCTATTATTCTAAACTAAAGGTTCGACGATAATTTTCAATCTTTGTAGCATCGAGCACCATTTATCGTCAATCGTCAACCACAATCGGCAACCCCTGCCCTCAACCGTCGGTGAACTTATGGTGTAATGTTGTATCTGAAATACAATTAATGATGTATCTCATATACGATGTAATAACTTATCTCAAATATAGTGCAACAAATAATATCATATTAAAGATCCATCGACAACTCTCGACGACAACTGCTTACGTCCGTCGTATTCGGATTATGTCAACTCTCTCTGACCTATTGACGCTTTTTCCACATTGCTTTTTATTGATGATATCCTTCTTGTAGATAAGACTAGAGAAAGTGTTCAGTAAAAACTTGAATTATGGAGGTCTACATTGGACTCTAAAGACCATTTAGTAGTTCTAAAACTGAATACATAGAATATAAGTTTAGTAGTGGTAACTTGTTTTAGTAGTTCTAAAATTGAATACATAGAATATAAGTTTAGTAGTGGTAACTCTAATGGAAAAATTTTAACTATGGGTGATCAAATCATTAAAAGGTGTGAACATTTCAGATATCTTAGGTCTATTGTTCAAAGTGATTGTGATATAAATGGGGATGTTATTGGATGTTATTAGTAGAATTAGTAGAATTCAAGTTGGTTGGTTGAAGTGGAAGAATCCATCGAGTCTATTATGTGATAGAAAAGTATTGTTTATACTGAAAGAAAATTTTTATAAGATGGTGGTGAGACTTGCAATGCTCCATAGCACTGAATGTTTGTCTTTAAGTGTTGTTGAGATGAGAATGCTTAGGTGGATGAGTGGCGTGGCAGTTAAAGACAAAATGTGAAATGAATATATTCATTATAGGGTTAGTGTAGCTCCAATGGCAAACAAGAATAAAGTGAAACGTCTTAGATGGTTTGGTCACATTTAACATCAACCATTTGATGATACAGTTAGGAAATAGATGCCTTAAATTCAACTTATATTAAGAAAGGCAGAGGCATACCTAGAAAGACTAGGACATATTGTATAAAAAATGATCTTAATTAATTAGAATGAAATGAGGATATGCACTCAATAGGACACAATGGAGAAAAAGAATTTATGAGTTGAACCCACTTAATGATATAAAAGGCTTGTTATTGTTGCTCTCCTAGGTGAAAGAAAAAAAAGTATTTTTGTACTTCCATGCTTATAATGAATTACTTTGTCTGATCTAGGCCACACAATTTTCTCCCTTTCCAAGACTTCTCCATGTAAAGCAATTGAGCATCTCATCCAACTTTTTCTTGAATCTTTTTTTTGTGATATATCTTGATGCAACGCTAAGACGTTAAACCATCACTCTACCATCACAAATCTTTAGCAAACAACAATATATATATTATCTTTACTTTACAACCACTATCATTGCTTTAAATACTAGAATATTTGCATACCACTCAACTCTTATATTTAAACATCTATATACCCAAACTACAATTTTTATATACATACCACCTTACCCATACATAAAAGATGTATTTCACATTTTAAAAATAAAAAAAGTGATATTTATTATGTGACAAGAAAAATTTGGGTTGTATAAATGTAAAAAAGCAAAGTTTAGAAGCCAGATATGTAAATATATAGGAATTAGTTGATGTTTATTTAAATGCCCCTTAAACATTGCCAAGCCTAATAAAGCGGAAGAATAAAACCTGGATGCTTGCATCAGCCAAAAAAAGACTAGTCCAATCTAAACAAAAAAAAAAAAAAGAAAGCAAATACTCCGACAAATAAAATTACTGAAGCAGCTCAAGCTATCAATAAGCACACGTTTAGTTAATTATACATACAAGTCAGAAAATGGCTGATTTATATATAACATTCAGAGGCGATAATTATATGACAGAATTATTTGGAGGTTTATAAGTTCAATAATTATATACGACTTAATGCCCATAATTTGCCCTCTTCATCATCCTCATAAATTCCTCTGCATCAACCTCACCATCACCTGCATCGCCAAAATAAAACACTGTGCCTTAGTTGTTCAAAGTAATAGAAACCATATGCAGGAGAAAACTCAGGCTACATAAAATAAATGGAAAATAATTAATTAATGCTACAAATGAAACTGCAGAGATCAGATGAAAGTCAATTGTGTCTTAAAAAAGAAGTTGGAGATAAATTAGCATGGCTAAATGATGGAAGTTAATCTTTGCTGTCCACATGACTTGTATCAGTTGTACACATGTTGTGCAGTGTTACATATTATTTTAAATATGACGAAAAATGGCTATCAATTTTGGAAAAGAAAAAAAACAGCAAATGTAAACATAAATACCTCAAAGCTCCTCCAGACTCCAAAACTGCTGAAGGTCTATAAAAATCTGGAGATTTTAACTACTACTTGTAAGAAAAATAATTGGGTTGGCCTACGAGGACATCAGATTACACCATTTTTAAAAAAATGAGAAAAATAATTGGGTTCGCGTATGCTTGTCAAAATTTATCTAGTTAGTAATCGAGTTACATTTTGATAAGATTGAAACTAAAGGGAGTTTATAGAAAATAGTACATATTATTTGACAGAGTAATAGAAAATTAAAAAAGTTTTTTTTTCAAATCTGAGTTATCTATTTGGTTGGGCGCCTTCGACTAGCTTAGCTTGTTGCTCACTATAATGTTAATGCATATCATGATAGATATTAAATATTTTATGTGAAATAATTTTAGCTTTCGTAACTAACAAGGATAACTTCATTTTAATTGTTTAATAGGGTTTTTGCTCTTCACATCAACATTCATTTGTCATTATTAAAAAAAGGGGGATTATTGATACCATGAGCCTAGGAATCTCATGGTGACCCATTAGTAATTTGATGATGATATACTTTGTGGCTTCCTCTAATGTTTTGGTAAGTGCTTATAAGCCTAGGTGTCTAATGAAGATGATGATCATAGGTGTCTAATGAAGATGATGATCATAAATGAAGATGATGATCATAATGATGATCATATCACTAGTCATTCTTGGATTTTTTTTTTCATTTGGAAATAAACTAAGGCCCTGCTTGAGATCACTTTGTGTTTCCAGTACCAGAGCCTAAATGACAATAATACCACTCGAAGATAATAGAGTATAAAATTAGAAATTTTATGAATGAATTTCGTTTATTCGGTGTCAAAAAAGAAAGACATTTATATAAAAATAGTTAGAAATTAATCAATTTAAGAATGAAACAATGTTAAAGAATGTCTCTTAAGTACATAATTTAGAATTAACAACACAATAGAAATAGAATGCTATTATTTAAAAATTGTTGGACAGATAGATTTACACCATTACATAGAAAAATAGAAATTAACCCAGTTTTACCAATTGGTCCGCCTTTGCCTATTCGGCAAGTCCGTAGAATCAACTGTAGGGCTAATTCTAATATTCAGGTCATAAGCCCCACATAGAAGCATGCTAAAAGATAGATTACAAATTCCGACCTTTGGGAAGCTTGCAAATAAAGGAGTTAACCCTAAACTTCAAATCAGGTAACTACAAATATCAAGTGAAAACTAAGAATCTAAAAGGCAAACATCATTTCGAGACCATAGGTTATATTTATAGGCCTGGATGTATTCTCTAACCTAATGTAAACTTGTGCAACTCCCATACTAATAAGCTTACCAATCAAAATCAAATCCAAGAACCAAAATCAAAAAAGTAAAAAATTTCATGTGTTGCTTATGTCAAACTAGAACTTATTAATAGCGAAGGATCATGTCATGCCCCCGAGCTCTTATTGATTATGTCCAGAATCGTTCAAGCGCAAGCATAAATGCTTTATGCCTATAAACTATTCCATAAAATTGATACAACTAGACCTTTACCAACAAATGAGTCTGCATCAATCTCAAAAGTATGCCTTTGATATATCCATATTTTCAACTTGATTTACTTAAAATGCTTAAGATAAGACACATGGTTACTAACCAGGATCCCTATACTTTACAACATAGATCCCTCTAACAATAGTAGACTAGGTACACTGATATAACCACAATATTAAAAATATGAAGGGTCGTTTGATTTGAAGAGCTTTGAATGTAAATATTATATGGGTTTTAGAAATGATAATATTCAGTTTGATGAAAACAAAATCATAGTAAAATGTTGAGGTTATATATTTGATTGCTTTTAGATGATTTGGTGATTTCCAAATACACCACGAGTCGCCATTGCTCATCAAAACCAATCACCACTGGTTACCATTGCCCACCAACACCAATGGTCACCATGGCCGACCAATCGCTAGTCGGCACCGCTCATCATCTTGTTACCCCGACCGCCACAGTTTTCGAGGTTTACAATGAATTCATTTCATTTTAAACCAAACACCAAAATGAAATGTTCTGCATTTATTTTAAACTCAGCTAAGGAACTCTAAAATTGATGTAAATACATCACATTTATTTTACACTGCCTTTATTTTATTCAATATTTATTTTTCAAAAAAATAAAACAGCCCCAAATCCATATAAATTCAAACCTTAATATTAAATCAAACTCTAGCAATGAGATTTAGTAGCATCTTAATTGAGAGAACTTTCTTTGAAAAATAAGGGATAATTAATTACAAAGGCTTTTACACTTGAAAGTATCAACCGATAATCTAGTAAATCTTTGGCACCATATAGGAATCTCTGGTTAAAACAAAGTCTAATCTACCACAACAAAAGCTACTTCTTTCTCTCTCACACAAATCAAAGAAACTCTAAGACTGAGAGGTTAGCTTCTCAAAACTATGGGTTAAGTTGAAAAATACTCAAGAAAAACTAATTATCTTTTCTCCCATATTATATTGAAAATATGGACCAATGACCCAACAATGGACAACTTAAAATGGACATAGCACTCTAATAATTAATTAATTAATAATTAGTTCGTAAAATTATTATAGAATTACCAACTAATTATTAACTTAAATTGATTAATCAAGCTAAATATGGAAAAAAATAGGATGGTTAATCAGTCAATTAAAGATTACAATAATAATACATCTTGTATGATTCATGACTAAAATAATAGGACTTATAATTGACTAATCGTTTATTGATTATTAGAACATAATGTGGATGTATACTTAATTTTGAGTGTCCCATGACGCCGAATATTGCATAAGAATACATGATGATAGCATGTAAGAGTAAGGGTGAAGGTGCTAAAGTCAGCAAACCATGTTATGGCAATACTACGTTAGAGAATGATAATGGCTAGAATGAAATTAAGGTTTGCAAATGAAGAATCTCTTGACCTTAAAACGAAAGAAAATGGTGGGTAGTTTGCATTGAGTTTTGAAGTTTATGAGATTTTCCAAAAAATTTAAGTTAGTGAAACAGAAGTAAAAGCAAGACTACATCTTAGAAATCCTAATCAAAGAAATGGCATTATTTCTTTAAAATTTTCTTATGAAAAATGGATGGAATTACTTAGATGTGGTGTGGAGATGATTGTAGTTGGGTTTCGGAGTTTAAGGAATTTTTCCAAAGGATCATAGGTGTTGAATTGAAAGCAAAAGCAAGACCGTGTTATTGAAAATCTAATCTAGCCAAATTGAGATGACATAGTTTCTTTGAATATTTTCAAAATAGTAATTGTATTTCTTCATATAAGACAAGAAGAGATGTAGGAAAAATAAATGCAAAAAATTAATTGAGCATAAGAAAAATTGCACAAAATTAACTCCTCATCCAAGGTGATGCCTCTGGGCTATCAAAACTAGGAGAACAGAAGTGTGGAAAATACTTATATAATGTATGCCAAGTCATCAGTAATTATTCCTTACAAAAATTAAAACACATGCATATAACTTTCCACAAGTTTTGCCTTTGAAATTTGAATTCCTTCTAAGTAGGAGGTGGTTGGTAGGAATCGAGTGGCATGGAACAACCAATCTCTTGTTTTATAGAAAGTGGGCTAATGTGACACCATGGTTGACTTGGATTGACTTGGAACCTTCCACGACTATCCATTTTTACTAAAAATAAATTTTACAAGTCTACTTTTGAGTCCCCATATGATTTGAAGTCAAGAAAATGAATCCTTATTGGAACCCACTCTATCATAACCTTGTATAGGATCTTTAAATTCATATATTTGCATAATGTGGCATGATATAGAATTTTGCATATTTGAAATTCTCTCAATGCTCTCGCGACTTTTATATAATTTATAATGCAAAGCATAATCAAAGGATACAGCACATAACACATGATTGCATTGCATTGATTATTCTTTAAAAACAACATGTAGCCAATAATAATAACATAATAAACATAATTTTTGTAACATTAACAATTAATTATTTGTAATAAACATTGTGATACGAATATGATGCACTACAACAAATGTAGTCCAATTACACATATATCAAATAATTAAAAATAAAAATATTATTTCAATAAATTTAAAATAACATTTTAATTACCCTACATAATTAGGTTTATTAATTATTATTTTGGCTATTTAATTAATGTTTAATTATTAAAATGTTAAATTAGTCTAATGAGTCATCAATAATTCACTAATAATAATGTAGGCAATTATATAAATATTAACAAACAATTATGATACAAAAACAAGACTATTTATTAATATAATTAGAAAATAACTACGTTAAGTAGTTATCGGTATGGTAATATAGTTTTAGGATAATTAGAAATTCAAATTAATTATAAATAAATGAATTAGAATCAAACGGACTAAGCTATTAATTAATGGTTAAGATATCAGGAGCATGCTAAAATTGTTTTTTTTTAAACAAGCTTGGTCATTTTTTTTTATTTTATTTTGAACAACTCAAGTTTCGTTTGACATATGCAAAATAGTATTTAAGTCGTATTTTTATAAAAAGAACCCAATTGGCCATCACCAACGCACTAGTTGGTAGTTGCCACCACAACCGCTGCCCGTAAGCAATCGACATACTGCTGCCCCACCACCAGAATGGTTGTATAAGTAGACTGATATGATATTAAATAAACAACACAAAAATAACAAATATTTTTCATTAAAATCAAAAACATAAACAATGCTAAAAAATTTAAAAAAACATTAATCCCATACATTTCATAATTTTCGCAATCAAATATTCAGCTTAAAAATTTATTAATTACTTATTAATTGTTAGCATAAGATATTTTAAAAATTAATACAATAATTACTCAAAAAAATATGTTATTTAAAGATTAATTAGGTTGTTCATTGGCAATTAACTACTTGAATATTAAATTATACCAATTAGTTATAAATTATTTCATGAATAAATTAAATTATCATATAAGCTTAGTATTAATAAATAATATTAGTGAGAAACTAGCTTAACTACTAAGGCTAATGAGTTAATAATTAATAACAAAGGTGAACCATATCAAACATTAATTAATTAACGGTTAACAAAGTGAATGATTTTATGTTCCAATAAATAATTGATATTAAATTAATTTCATATGAACTTCTTTTTTTCATTCAGCTTATACAGTGAAAATAATTTAAAGCAAAATATCAATAGACAAGGATGCTCTAGAACTATCCATCCAGGAAAGGAAGCCTACAAAGAGAAACTACCACTTCATTTGCAGACCATGTGAGAAAACTCAAGAAACAAATGGTCCTGTAATAATCTCTAAAGTGTAATAATACTTTAGTTTTCTCTTTTAAACGTGCTCATTTTCTCTCAAGTTTTAGTGTTCTAGCCCACTGTTTGTGAAAGTTTGGTTGTCTTAGCATTATGGTGTGCTAAAACCGCATAATTAGCTTGAAAAAAATAAGTTTGTGATAGCTGGTATCGGAGTCTTGGTTTTGGGATATAACAAATAACGTCAAAAGTGGTTGGGTTTGAGACCACTACCATGTATTTATCACAACCAGGATGAGGTTGTGAGAAGCAATGTAATCCTTCCACACCAATGTCACGAGTAAAGTCCAAGGTCATGATCTCTTATTTTGATTCACACCTATCTCGGGTAGAAGAGTGTGAATGACATGGGGATCAAGAAAGAACACCAAGGCAAAAAGGAGATTGGACCAGAGGAGGAAGTCTCTGGCTCTCTACCATCCATTTTGTAATAAGAGCATGTTGCTCCAACTAAACAAGTCCTTGAGGAATGAAGTGAGGACGTTGTGTGCTGATTTAATAGGTGAACTCAGCAAAAGATAAATCAAGCTCACAAATCGGAGATGAACGACATGCTTGCACACATTAGAACCTATGTGAGAATGCATTACTGACATACATGCACCATTTCTACTTTTAATGGCTTCAAGAGATAACCTTTTAAAAAAAATCTCTCCCGAAAATGCTAAGAATAAGGCTAGAACTCATTTGCGACTACTAAAAGAGCTAGAATCAACCCGTGAATACGTCAAAGATTTCGCTAACTTGGTCCTAGAGGTCCCCAACTTCGCCGTCTACGTCAAAGATTTAGCTAACTTGGTCCTAGAGGTCCCCAACTTCGCCGTCAAGGATGCCTTCTTCATTTCCTAAATGGGTTCCAACAAAGGTGAAGATTGAGCTAAGACAACATGGGAAGCAAGACCTTGTCACTGCCATAGCTGGGCTGAGAGCTTTATTAATTATAACAAGGAGTTCACCAACAAGCCAAAGGAGAAGAAGGGCAACCAAGCCAAAGGCGGGGGAGACAAAGCTCAACTCAAGGAGGAGACTTGTCAAGGCTATCTCAGAAAAAGAGCAAAAATAAGCACAGCCATAACAATTGCTTCCTTTGTGGGGTCTCCACTAGGAAAGGGACAGCACTTAGATATGACCCTAAACACGCTCTTAGCAAGCCACCAAGGGGGGGATAGAAATCAAGGGCGCACACGACGGCACACATAGAGCCTATATATAATTACTCAATGTGATACAATCCACCCCTAAAACTTTTCAGAGGTTACCATTTGTGGAAGTATCCTAGCACTTATAGATCATAGTGTGTTGTAATTTGACCTTAAAGTGTGTTGTAATTTCATTTCCATCAAAGAAGCCCAAAGGCTCAGAATTTAGACGACCAATGGAGAGGGCTCAATCAAAGCAATTAGCTCAGCAACACGGCCCATCTAAAGCATAATTCAAAAGGTCAAGACTACATTGAAAGCCTGGTCTGATAACATAGACTTCTCAATCATTCTAATGGATGGCTTCCAAGTCATCCAAAGGTTAGAATTCCTTGCTCAAGCCAAGGCGCTCCCAGTGACCTTTGCTAATAGCATTTGCATTACAGATGGCAACAAAGCTTAGGTAGTGCCCACAATTAGAGCCATCAAGCAGGATTTAAAAATGCTGTCAATAATGCAGTTTAAGAAAATCATCAATAAGCATGAGAAAAGTAACTTAAACCACATAGTACGACAATTTCTAGCTAAATTATAAAAGTAACAAGAATAACTACAACAATTAATAATCTTTACCATACTATGAGAAATCAGCTTGGGAAAACATGGGAAATGCATGCTCACCATTACGATCGGCTTCATCTATCATCTCCCTTATCTCGGTAAGAGTGAAGCTTTCACCCAACTCTTTAGCAATATTCAGGATATCTACATCAGAAATTTTTCCCTGGAAATAAACCAAGAGAAATTATCCTATCAGAAAATAACATAAGAACAATTAAAATTTTGAACAAAACTAAAGATCGACATGTACGTTATTATCCTGGTCAATGATGCGAAAAGCTTTCATAAGCTCCTCTTTAGTGTCCCTTTCTCCTATTTTTGTTGTCATCATATACATAAATTCATCAAAATCAATGGCGCCACTACCATCTTTATCAACATCAGCAATCATATTATTGATTTGCTGCAAACAAGAGAATAACTCATGGTCGCTTAACAATTTCCAAGAAAATTAAAAACACATTTAAACAAAAGGCATAACATAGTTTCACAGGTTGACAGGCCGATTAATCTAAACCAAAAAAAAAAAGAAAAAGAAAATATAAGAAAGAGAGAGAACTTTTCACAAACATTTCAAATAAACAGATTTTAAGGAAATTTCCTATATCAAATCGAGTGACGTTAACTTGTTAAGAGATTTATAAACAAACCCATATGTGTTTAGAGTTTACATAAACACCATCTTCAAAATTTGAATGTATTAAGATGAAAGAATCCTTATATTTCTAGTTCGGGGTTACTTTTACATCCATGAAGGGCTGCTGATTTATTTCCATGTAATGAGATAAAATTCACATAACAAAAAAGAGCATGATGTCACCTCCCAAAAGAGCCCTTAAGGGTGGTGGGCAGCCCAGGACTTAAATACTGTTTTTCGACCCTACACCTAGCTGATGTGGGACTATATGTCCGTGACATTCTCCTCCACCCAATCACGTGACGCCCTCATCACGGATCGGCTCCACCGAGAGTCCCACTGGACCATGGAGAGTCCACACACCTGGCAGGCAGTAATCGGCTCTGATACCACTTGTCACCTCCCAAAAGAGCCCTTAAGGGTGGTGGGTAGCCCAGGACTTAAATACTGTTTTTCGACCCTACACCTAGTTGATGTGGGACTATATGTATGAGCTTATATTATAGTTATCAGAATTCAACAAAATGGAATAAAGAGTTCCGGATTAGTGCTTATAGCTTTTTGAATATGTTTCGCAAATATGTATTTTATATTTATATATATATATATATATATATTTAAATCTAAGTGAGTACTTATCTCGAATCATCTTACACACTTTTACTTTAAGTAAAAAATTAAGATTGAAATTTGCTTTCTTTTTTTGAATTTTAATTTTGTGTTTTACAATGAAGAAACTACGTTAATATGCCAATGGTTCATGTTATATTTATAAATTGCTATAAATGTATTAGGCTTTTTTTTGGATCGTGTATCTCAATCTACATCAAGGCTTAAGCCTCATCTCATTAAAGCAACATACCTTAGTTCCCTAAAACAATATATTCACATTATTTGAGGATTGGGGATCACCTAAACTCATTTCAGCTGATAAATACCAACATCTGGATTCAAGTTAAAATTTATTGGTAGCTAGAAAACAATAGTACTTCCATTCTAAAGCAAGCATGGTCATATAGTGGCCCCCTGTCTCATCCAACATTATTGTGGTAGAAATTCCAGGGACTGCATTCTCTTGAGTTTTGTATCGCTAAGGTTGTACATCCTCCCAACCATAATGTCATAAGTGGTAGAGATATGGAAGACAAAAAAGGAATCCTTGAGCAAAACCAACATAATGTCTAATGGACAAGGCCTCCAGAAGATTGTTCACGATGCTAATTCATTATATGTGAACATAAAATACTCAAACCATATTTTAAAATTTACCTAAATCTAACTTTTAATCCAAAGTAATAAAGCAATCAAATTCTATTAAGACGTTAAATTTGTTAACAAAACACATTCAACTCATTTAATCTTTTTTTTTTCTTTTTTTTTTTGTGCTTTCTTCGTGGATAAAATATGAAAACTTTTTGAAGATAGCTTGCATTCCTTCGTGAAAAAAAAAAGTATAATAATACATGTTATGTTAAATGAAACTAGTATGGGTGGTTTCATTTTGATTTTTTTACTCATTCAGCTAGCGTCATTACTTTATCCTTACATAAATTATCATAATTCAACTAAACTTAATATTTAGGGCCGCAAAAGATTTAATCGTTACAAAACTATATAAGTGACACAATAGAGAACATAACAAGACAAGCAATTTCAAGTTTTTTTTCATTAATTTATTCAAATATTCTTATGATATTTTTCATCTATACTCAGTCGCATTTGTGAGTTTCCTTATCCTCAATGCAACAATGTCCTGCATTGTAGGATGCTCTTACGAATCATGTGATAAGAAAGTATAAATCATATCATAAATAAGCCGAGGTATGCCCCAAATATGATACAATTTCATTCATATTTCCTACAAATATTTGCATGAAACACAAAATAATTGGAGCACAATCAAACAACAGTTTTAAGTGAAATAAAAGGAAATAAAACAATCAATTTGAAATTGATGGAAAATAAATGTTACCTCCTCTGTCATTTCAAATCCCAATGCTCTGAAAATGAAATATTAGTATCACAAATGAGAAAAAATTGTGCAAAAAAAATAAACAAGTACCTCATGGCGACATTCAACTCTTTGGCATCAATAGTGCCTATTAAAAATATCACAGAGACAGTTTAGTATGAATGAGAAAAGAATAAAATTTATAAATTGAATTATATTTAATATAAATTAACACATATATACAACACAACCATACCAGAACCATCAGTATCAAATAGCTCGAAGGCTTCCTTAATCTCTTGTTTCTTCTGTGCAGTTAATCCAGGATGCCGACTTCTAGGTTTCTCCCTTCTAGATGCTGGCATCTTTGAGTTGTTCGTTGCCTGCCAACAAGAACCATGAAGCATAGTTCAACCTAACATGCCTGGATATCCTCCAAGAATCTTAAACTGTGCTAGTATTCTCCAAGCATATCCATTAAAAAAAAGGGTTATTTCTTCCTGCTAGTGGTCGTCAACAAAGACAAAGCAACTTATTTAGTAATCCTTACGCAGAGAATTTCATAATAACTCCAATCTTGAAAGATAAAAGGGCTATACACCCACAAAATCAGGTTTCTATCCACGTTCAAATGTAATCCATGAGTAGATTAATCCCATGTGTTTTCCTGGAACTCAAAAACTTGGAATTGTGAGGCAATGAAGCCTTACCTGATTATATTCATCTATTAAACCTAAATTAATGCACCCAATGAGATTCAAGATCTCTTAACTTCATGCAGTAACAGAAATAGAGAATGAAGGGGCAGTTTCCTTACTGATTTAAGTAGGATTTAGACAATGTTAAAAACATATCCTGCCAAACGGACCTCTGAAGGTATTAGTCTTACTGAAGCAGAACTTCAAACCAAATAAAACAAACAAAACATTCCATCGAATCCCTAAACCTATAATCTTAGCTAGAAGGGACGACAGGACAAAATCGCAAATCTTAGGGCCTGCCTGGAAACGGATTTAGAGCAGAATTTAAGCTGGATTTAACCTAGATCTTGCCAGACAGATATTTTGGACAAAATAAAGCCTCGGATTTGATAATCCGGATTTAACGGATTTCGGCCTTAAATCCCGGGTTTACTATATCCCGGGAATCGGTGGATATAGTACATCAGGGACGAAAGCTTCGCGTGAAGTTACCTTCCTCGATCCTTTCGGGTAGGAGCGGAGCGGAAGGAGGAGAAAAAAGGGAGCTTCCGGTCACTGTAAGCCGCGATCTCTCGTTGCTAGCTCCTATTACTGTATCGCGAGGGTTTGGTCACGATGGAGATGGTTTGGGACGAAACAGAGACAAGGAGCAACATACGACACACTAGAGCTGTTGTTTCAGTCAAAACGGTTTCAGCCGTACTGAGCCTGTTTCTATTTGAAATTGATCCAGCGACTTTATAGGTCAGGTTGGGCCGGCCCACGGGCCTTAGAATTTATTTTTCCTCTTCTTTATGATTTTAAGCATAGCCTTAAAATAAATGGATGTTTGCAATTTGGCAGAAGTTGTGATCTGTGTCTGGTGTGTTTTATTTGGCATAGATTCAAATTATCAATTTGTCAAACAACACTCACTCAACTCCGAGTGATTTAGACACAGTGATCAATTTGTCAAACAACAGTCGTAGTCTCCATCAGCAAAATCACATGCATTCCAACAAGTTTATTTATTCTTGTTTACATAAAATCATTATCCAGATGCTACTCCAGTTTGTTTGCTCTTTAAAAATGAAAGTTTATAAACCTTGTTTATTAAATATGAGAGATGCAATGGTTTAAGGTTTCTTGGTAATTCTTGCCTCCAACCAATCAAAAATACAAAATCTAAAAACTACTTAACAGACCTCAATGGCATGAGAGATGCAATGGCTAGGCTTATCCCATTTGTCATTGGTTTAAGGTTTCTTGGTAGTTCTTGCCTCCAACCAATCAAAATTACAAAATCTAAAAACTACTTAACAGACCTCAATGGGGATATTTCAGTTAAGATAAAGCGATTCTTTTTTGCAATTTGTGTCGTTGAAATTTAATTAGACAAAAGTGCTCATGTGAATGATTGGAATGCAAAGTGTTAATAGGAAAAGAGATTTACATACATAAAACATAGTTCATATAAATCACGCGCGAGAGAGCGATTCAACGAAAGAAAATAAATTTTAAATTTTTCGGGTAGGGCTTTATGTGGGCAGGTCGGGTTTAGCTGTTCCAGGTTTTGACTAAGTCAAAGCGGGCTCCAGCCGGGATCGCTAAATTTTTATTTTTCCACAACTAAACCCACAAATTCTAAGTGACATTTTGGCAAGCTCGTCGGGCTACCAACGAAACGCCCAAATCTAATCACATACAAAGGTTTCATTTTGAATTTTTCGGGTAGGGCTTTATGTGGGCAGATCGAGTTTAGCTGCTCCGGGTTTTGACTGAGTCAAAGCAGGCTCCAGCCAGGATCGCTAAATTTTTATTTTTCCATAACTAAACCCACCAATTCTGAGTGGCCTTTTGGCAAGCTCGTCGGGCTACGAACGAAACGCCCAAATCTAATCACATACAAAGGTTTGGGGGTGAGAGAAGAATGATGTAGACGAGGGTTTTATTAATTTTATTTTATTTAAGTTAATTTTATTCATTTAATTGATTATTTATTTATTATTAATAGATTAATTATATGTAAAAAAATTATATTATTATTTTAATTAATAATCAATAAAAGATAAATATTTAATTTTTATTCATTCAATAATTATAGGTAATTAATAATTAAGATAATTAATAACTAATTAATTATTCTCTTATAAATGTTAGACTTCTATTTAATATTTAATTTAATAAATTTTGTATTACTGATCAATTAGTTTTGTAAATATATAATTACTAATTATCGTACTTTGAAATAAAATATTTATTAAATTTAAGAAGCTAAACTATTTTTATTTTATTATTTTGGAATATTTCAAGAATTCTATTTTACATAGTTTATGCTTTGGTTGGAGGGTCTAGTGATCATAATAGCTTTTTAAATCCTCACATAAATTACCAAATTGTTTCAAAGTATTTAACATGATTTATCAAGTATGTTGTCAAGCAGTTGTTAGGATTGAACCCTTTATGAATTTACTAAATATAGATTTACATCATTTACTAAATCATACTAACTTAAATGTCATTTGTTGTCATGCAACCCCTTAGGGATTTTAAATGTAATATAAAACACAAAATTCTAGTAAAATGGAGTAAGCAAATTGAGAGAAATTGAGCAAAAAATAGTTAAGTATCATGATTAGAATCATAACGGAGCTCGAAGAGCTCTAGAAACTTTGGCTATACTGGAGAAAAACTCTTGCTCGAAAAGAGTGCTTCTTTTATTTATCTCGTTTTGGGGACTAGTCAATAATAGGGCTATGAAGCAAAATATTGCCTCCATCATGTTTTTAAATAGCTAACCGGCCTCCATCTACAACTCGATCTAGTTGGAGGGTCAATCTTATGTCGGATAGTTGAAAAAAAGAGCAATTACATACAACAAACCACCCCCAAACTTATTATTTATAATCCAACAATCCTCTTTTACTCATCCAATTTTCAAATTCACACTCAGATATCCAAATTCGTGGTAAAACCCCAACCTATATTTTAAATTTTTTATCAAATTCTCAATAGTTTGATCGTGACACGTGTAAATACATTGGTTCAGTAGTTCAAAAAAGTCACATTGGTGGCTAATTTGCAAATATAAATGTTTTGGGTGATTTGTATGCAATTATCCCTTGAAAAAATAAGGAGATTATATCCGGGTTCGGAAATCAATACATGTGAAATCTCAAACTCTCATCCATCAAGGTGTTATCCGCTTTGGCCTAATTGTCTCACAGTTTTGTCTCGTTAGTGTAGCTTCCTAAGGGTCGCCCATCTGAGGAGTGCTCCCTTCTGAGCAGGCCTAAGAGTTTCTATCAAAATTCTATTGTTACACCAAAATATCCTTGATGTTTAGGAGTTCAGCTTCAATCTACTTAAGATGGTTCACGAATCCTACCACTTAAGTACCTGACATTCCAATCAGTATTTGTATCCTAGAATCATCCATCACATAGGTAAGACTATAAGTGACCACTACAGATTCAAGAGGTGACTCCCACCATCTGGCACTTTATTTCATCGAGCGTTCAAGAGGTGGCTCCCATGGCGCAACACTGTGGTCTGTATGACACTTAGTTCTTATCTTCTAACTAGTGTGATGCTATGATTTTATTTGCGACAGCTCAAACTCTCACTCGTTGAGTTATTGTCCACTGGCTTAATGGCCTCACAACTTTGTCATATTGTTGTAACATCCTAAGAGATCACCCATCCTAAGAGTGCTCATTTGTGAGCACACTTAACTTTGAAGTTCTTATCAAAATTTCACCATTACACCATACGACCACTCAATGTTTAAGAGTTTGACTTCCATCTATTTAAGAGGTTCCATAGTATTGTTGACCTCATTTTTTTTAATTGAGACCTATCCTCTCTCTCTAGATGCCCAAGATTTAGCCCTAGGGTTTTCCTAGAGGCTCTCCTGAAAGACTAGTGAAGGAACCAACACCAAAATAGAACTTGAAATAAATCTTCACTCCTTAGGGTTCCAAATGCTAGACCCCAAATCCTCAATTTTTTGTTGAGATGATTAGGGTTTAGTCATTAAAGCATGAGTTGAGTTTTTATAGGGTGAAAATGACCTCGAGAAAATCTTTGACCCAAAAGACCTAGGTTCTCTTTTGGTAGCCCACTTTTCACCCCTAAAGTTTGGTGATCCTTACTTTATATAAAAGAAACCCATTGGGCATGAGACTAGCTTTTGAGCCAAAACCTATCACTTGATAAAAGCCATAAATTGAACCCCCAAAGTAACTAAACCAAAGGAAATTTGAAACCAACATTTGCTGAAATTCCCAAATAAAATAAAATAAAATCATCAGCTAAAACTGAAATCAATGAAACCTAATCTAACTAGTCTTAAAATTCACCAAACTATAAACCTAAATTAAGCCAATACAATAAGGTTAAATCAATCAAAATTAAAAAAAAAATTAAATTCACCAGTAATTATCAAGTGAACATCAAGAGTGAATATCAACCATCATTAAGATTTACAAAAAACATTCAAACCTAAAATTAAACACCTCACAATATAACAACAGCAACAAGCCCCTATCCCACTAAGTGAGGCAGCTACTTGAATCATTTTTCTCCATTGCATCATATTGAGTGTCATATTTTTATTTAATTATAATGGATTAAGATAACTTTCTATGGAAGATACCCAAGTCTTTTTTGATATACCTCTATTTTTCTTAACATTATTCGAATCTAAAATATCTACTCTCATAACCGGATCAACAGATGGTCGACGTTTGATGTGATCAAACTATCTAAGACGACTCTCTCTAACCTCACCTGCCACTGGTGCTAAACCAACCCTATCACAGATATATTCATCTCACATGTTGTCTCTAAGTGTCAAACAACTCATCCACGTGAGCATTCTCATCTCAGCAACACTTAACTTTGTTTTATGCTTCACTTTTAAAGGCCAACATTCTGTACCATAAAGCATTACCATAAAGCATTCATAAAGCATTGCAGGTCTCACCACCATCTAATAAAATTTTTCTTTCAATTTAAGAGGTTCTTTTATATCACACAGTAGCCCCATGCATTCCTCCACTTCAACCAACCAACTTGAATTCTACTAATAACATCCTTAAATATATCATCATCACTTTGAACAATAGATCAAATATATCTAAAACGTTTAAACCTTTTAATGATTTTATTGCCAACGGTTACAACTCTGTCACCAGAGCTACTACTGCTGAAATTACCTTCTATGTATCCAGTTTTAGTTTACTCAATCGAAGAACTTTAGACTCCAAAGTATATTCATAAATTAAGTTTTTCCTGATCTTATTTAGTCTCATCCACAAGAAGGATATCATCAGCAAAAAGCATACACCAAGATTCATCCTTCAGTAAATGTCTAGTAAGAGCATCGATAATTGATGCAAAAAAGATAAGAGCTTAAAGCTAATCCCTGATGTAATCCAACTAAAATGGAAAATACTTGGTCAATCCTCCTTCAATTCAAAAACAAGTAACATCACAATAAAAATTAAAATTTCCAATTAAATCAATTAACATGAGAAAAATTGATTAAACATCAATTTTAAAATTAACATGAATAACACATCAAAATTATCTAATCTAAATTAAAATACACAAAACTCTGACTCAAACCACACACACTCTCTCCTATATTTTTAATCCACAACATTCAAATCTCTCATTCGCAAAATTGAATGACAACCCTCAACTGCTTCGCATCTCCCCCGCTCAGTCAGGGTTGCAAGTGAGTCCAGCCGACTTGTGAGCTAGCTCGAGTCCGACTTGATAAGTGGCTGGTGAACTGAGCTCGATGAGCTAACAAACCAAGCTCAAGTTAATCCCGACTCGACTCATTAGCTTGTGAGCCGGTTCGTTTAAATAAATATTACCCTAAAATATACTCAAAATATATTAAATTTTAAAACTTTATCTTTAAAGTATTAAAAATGTTAAGAAAATATTATTTTTTTATTGTAAGTTAGGTGATTTTTTATTATTTATTTCCTAATTATTCATTCTTTTTGTCAACTTATAAAATTATTTTAAATTAATCTCATTTTCTCCCTTTTATATTAAATAAGCCAGTTAAGAATTTTTCAAATTCATAGAATTAATCAAGCTCAAGCTTACCCTGTTGCCTTGAAACCTAACACTTGTAGTTCCCCTCTATGGCAAAATGCTCGCCTATGTCCCTTTCGTATAACGGTTGCACACGAAACCATCATCTTCTTGACTGCAACCCTCTGCATACAGTAGCGACAATAGCTAATCAGAGAGGCAACGACAGGGCCATGACTTGCAGAGACTGAAACTCCCATCTTCCTTCTCCTTTGGCATTGCTCCAACTTGAAACCATGGAGGCAGATGAAGAAAGACAGCCTTCAACTTCAAAAATGATGTTAAGATAAAATGGAGTTTGGAGAATAAGTGTCATGAATATGAATATGAATATGAATATCAAATGTTAGATGCGTAAATGCTTAAGAATTGTAATTGTGTGGCATACTTTCTAAAATTTTTAGCCTCTCTTTGCCCACCAAAAAACTTTGCTCAAATAATAATTTATTTGTTTTTACGATTAAAATCTTAAATATGAGGTCTTCATCTTACAAGATAAATTCAGTTTGGCATTTCAATTTTATTTTATAAATGTAACCAGCCTTATCTTCAGATCATCTGACGTTACATGTTAGAAGACTAATTAAAACCTCATCGGAACTGAAGCTGCGTTCCGATGGGGCACTGTATCCTGCGAGAGAGGTAATGAGATGAGAATCGATCCAGCTACGCCTCATTCGAACACCGAAGCCCGAATGCGTTCAATCTGTTTGTTCATATTCCTCTTTGAGCTAGCTCACTTGCGCCATCGTTCCCCTGCACCGCCGGGATGCGGAGCGCCGGCACCGTCCTCCTAAATCGCTCAGGTACTCGTCAATTTCTCTATGATTGTGTTCTTATACTTTTTTTTAAAGCAACTAATGCTCATGTATTGGTCTCCAAGCTGCTCCTTGCTTGTTATTGAGCTTAGAGCTCGACTGTTCTATAACTTTTGCATTGATTTTCCCTAAAACGCTAGCTATTGTTGGGCTTTTGTTGATTCATTGACACCCTAGACATACATTGTGACGCTTATGCGCTTATTAGGGTTACTGTGTTCAGCCTATATGACCATTGAAGTTTTTAGTTGGTGGCGGTATTTTAGCAACGGGCTTGTTTGTTGGTGAAGATATGGACCTTTTATTAGATCCTCATATCATTTTAATTGCTGCAATTCCTACTAGGTTCACATAAAAGTTGCTCTTCCTTTATAGTAATTTTTTTATGGTTAAATGAGGAGGTTTGTTATGAGATATTTATGCCCATTCCACGGATACGGTGTCCTATTGATGATATCGGCATAAACCATGACAATTGGCTCAAAGACAATGGAGCTGCATTGGTTTTGTTTTTGAAGAGAAATTAGTTACAATTATTATGGGGAGATTACCATTGTATCTAGCTCCACCTCCCTGCTAGTAACTCATTTTTGTAATCTGGTCTTGAATTATCTACTATCTTTTCCTTCGTTCTTCTAGTTTTTACGATTAACATAGCATTACCAAATCTCAAGTCAAATTATCCAGAAAATTTAGATTAGAGTGTTTTTGAATTTATTGAAACACAAAACTTAGAGTTAGTATTCAACAAAGAGTGCCTTTTTTCATACTTGGAAATTGGTTGTGAGCAAAATAATGAACTATTATCTTTAAAGTATAAAAAATGTTAAGAAAATATTATTTTGTTATTGCGT